TGTAATGGTGAGGTGCACATGTGATAACACAGTGAAGCAGCAGTCAGTAAGCAGCAGATATGGAAAACCCAAGCAGAGAAAAATAGAATATCAAGGGAGCCAGTGAAAAGGCAGAAAGCCAATCGATGCTTAATATCACCAGGTCGTTATTAATGATGCAGCACGCTCTGCAGTGGGGAGCTGTCAGGCTTCTGGGCTGTTTGCCTGTTCAGCCTCATCAGCACTATGACATGATATGTGGGACTCGGGATGGTTGAACAGCACTTCCTTACCAACCTCTGAAACCCCCTGCCCCCTCTACGCTTGCAGAATGTACTGTACAGAGATGCTTTAGTACACAACAGTATTTTCTCACTTAGACATGGAGAGGCTCTGCAGCCTGTCCTTTACTGGAGAAGAAACATAATTGTTGACAGATTGTGAAGCATTATTGTGAAGCCAACTGGATCAGTGTGCCTCAGCTCCTGATGGAGACTGAGAATGTTCAGAGATTTACACTTTCATGCTCACACCGCAAGAGTTTTAACACTCTAAAGTCCAACTGGCAGCAAAAAAGGAAAATTACGTGCCATCGAGACACTGAAAATCTTTGACCGCATGTTTGTCAGTCCAAAAGGAATTACAGCTATAAACTGTAAGTATAAAATATGGACAAAACAGCTTAATCAAGGCACAAGAATGTGATTCATTCACTGTAGCAAAAGCTATTTTTAGCTGTGAGTGAAAGCCTAATCCTTCACAACAGAGGACTATGTCTGTGTCTGTTTAATCTGTATTTAGTGAATACAGCAGTGTGTCTACTGAAGACCTCAAAGCTTTGAGAGAAGAGCACGTTTTCTTCTTTCAATTTTTATAACCATTACCTAAATGTTTTGTCAAAGTTTTGGTTAAATTAAGAAAAATAATTTAAAAAAAAAGTTAAAGCACATATTCAAATAATGTTCAGTAACATTGAATACATGAATCATCTACACTTCCGCACATTAGTTTAGCATGTTAGCATGCTAACATTTTACTAATTAGCACTTAACACAAAGTGTAGCTGAAGCTAATGAGAATGTCATTAGTTTTGCAGATATTTTGTAATAAACCAAAGTATGGGATAAATTAAATTTTTGACCTGACTTTGGCACTAGAAGAAAAGTCAGGGTTTCACCAAAGTCATTACAATATACCGTCTGGGAACCATGTACGTCTGTACCAAATTTCAAAAACAGGAAGATTCAGGGGATCACAAAGTCAGTAGGCTCATCCTCTGGGGCCATGAATGTCAGTACAAATATTTAATGGCAATCCATTCAATATTGGTTTGGATATTTCAAGCCGGTTCAAAATGGTGGAATGACTGGCAGATAGGCCGACACTGCCATCTGAGTCATGCTGATTGCATGGCATAATGCATTATTTATTGTGTTACCTATTCACCTTCGGTGCACTAATAGGTGATATGGGAGACAATTTGTTGTGTATGGTCTGTATGACCCAAAGCTTAGAAACTAAAGTAGGCCTATGCAACAGAAAGAAGTGTGCAGACAGTTTGATTTGTTTTTATTGTAAAAGACACTTTACATAGTTGCACATTAACTTCCCAGCTCTGTTTTTGTCTCCTATCCACAACCTCTCCAGACATTATTTTTCAATTGACTGTTGTTATCAGGTATACTCTGCTCTTGGTTGCCATTTAAACAAGATTAGCAACTTGGCAGATCCTCTCCACTGTCCCAGCACATGGCACATACATATTTGTGCAGTTATGTCCTGGCTGAGCTTCAGATTGGATATTGGAGTTGATTTGACAGAAATACTAAGGATATGTGATCTAGGGCTTAAGAAGGATAGACCCAATGCAATAAATTAGTGTAATACAGTCATTAAGGTCCCATTTGAATAAATCTGATCAAATAAAGAAAGCAAATGAAAACAGTACGTTCTTGAAACAAGTACAGTTAACAACAACATTCACTGGAATGAAATCAAGCTTTTCTCGTCATGCCTGGGTTCAAGCACAGTCTTGCCAGATGTTTCCCAGACTTCTTAGTATTGTTTTTTTAACTGATTTCACAAGTCAGTGTATTTTCTTATGAAAAAGAGGCCCACAGTCTGACCAATCTTCATTATGCACAATTTCTATCTGGCAACTGATGGATCTTAAAATTATTCTCACCATTTTGGGGTAAGGATAAAAAGAACTGATGGATACTGACAACAGTTTTTGTTATTTCTGTGAAAATACAATGCCACAGTACAATGAAACACCTACAGAGGCACTGTGTGGTATTCATGTGACGTCAGCCACTGAGTGATGTTTGTGTGATGCTCTCGCTTTCTGTAGCGGCGACCAGCATATGGAGAATCATACTCCAAACTGGGTCAAAAACAAGCAGGTGTCCTGCTACCATGGAGGAACAAACCCACAGAAGTGTACATCTTAAAACAGTGTTTTTTTTTATTGGGGGTCATCATGAGAAGGAGATCTAATCTGGTCGCAGATCAGGCTGGAGATTAGATGTGCAGCCTTGCCGTGCTGGAGGTCAGGGCCTCAGGCTCCTGATGGACTACTATTGATTGGGGGGAACGTGGCGATACAGTTGCAGTCGCTCAGCATTGATTTTCTGCAAGTGCAGTAGTGGAGAGCAGGCAGAATAAGAGAGCTAGACCAGGGGGAGCTGCCAGGTTATCTTCTCAAATATCCGGAAGTTGTTTTTTTTCTTTTTTTTTTTTTTTTTTTGTGGCACTGACCTTCCCTGAGTCAAAGAGATATATCTGTTTAGACATTAGCTCAGCAGCTACGCTAGATAGACTGTTTAAGCAGCTTCAGCAGTGTTTGCCTGTGCTTTTTCAACAATACACTTAACCAGTAAAAAGCTCCAATTCAGCACATTCAATAATTAACACAGTCATTCCATTCCAGAGAATATAACATGTGTGTGTGTGTGTGTGTGTTGTGTGAGAGAGAGAGAGAGAGAGAGAGAGAGAGAGAGAGAGAGAGAGAGAGAGAGAGAGAGAGAGAGAAACTAAAATTCAAAGGGTCTAAATTAAGATGTTGTTTGTATACTTATTACTAATCATAAATCAACAGTTTTCAAATACTAAGATTTTTGAGTACAATTTCCATACCTTCTAAGCAGCCATTGTTTCCATTCATTTATCTGTGGGGTGATCATTAACTTGCAGGGACTTGAAACTTGCTTAAGATGACTAATCCATCACAGCGGGGATGTCAGGAAGTGCTGACAGCCAAAAACAGTGTTGCAATTTTATTGAAAACCCAGAAGGGGGGGGGGTATTATGTCCTAAGCAGATACACATTTTTTTAATCTAAGCATGTGATTTTCAGCCACACATAGCACATGTTGATAATTTAAGAAACATTATGTTAACAACCCATGACCCTGAAAGTGGTTTAGAAAAGAATGAAAGAAAGATTCATTGTGATGATCACCTGTCTCAAGCAACTTTGTATGCCTCTATTAATTGATTTTCAAACAATATTGAAATTAACTGAATAAGCAGTGGCTATACGGTAGGAAAATCATTCATGAATCTAAAAAAACTCTGCTTTGGGAAATGGTCAGCAATAATGAAAAGTAGATCCGCAATTTGTAAGAAATCTGCTAGGACACGCAGAAACACAAACTCCTCTTAGCGTAATTATAATGCACAGACTGCTCAGGGCTTATTATATTTATTGTACATTTACTCAAAGGGTTTTATATATTTATTTTATTCCGTATGAATTTTAATTAAGACTTCAAACACTTGAGCTCCGGTCAGCCAACGCAGGGCTTTCCTTTGATCAGGCATCACTCTCCCAGATTTTTTCTCCTCCATTTCTTTCCTTTGGGCAACTTCCTTCTAATTGGCTCAGCATCGCTCGTCTTGTCTGTCGTCAGTAGGTCTAACTCTCTGTCTGTCAGCGCAGATGAAAGGATATGAGCTATACATAGGTAGCTCCGGGGTGCGGGATGCCTTTTTGATGAGTTTTAGGGTTGGATGGTAAACATTATTGCATGTTCTCTACCATGAATGTTACTGTCAAACCCACACCCACATCTTTTATTTGAGCTAAGTGAGCCTGAAGGAGACTGTGTGTGCACGTCTTCGGTAAACAACTCATCCAGACATGACTCAGTTATTCAGGGGAACATGATATACTTGTACATCCCATGGTTCTTGAGGCCTCACTGTTGTTTTGTTTTTCCGAAAAATCTGTTTTGTCTGTTAAAGTAGATGATGTCCTTCCCTGTGCTGTTTATAGAGCTTTTTCCTCCCTACCTAACCCCTCCCCTCCTTTATTCCTCCCTGGGCTCTCTCTGTCTCTGTGCTGTGTGTTAATGTAGTGAAGTGGCCCATCGGTCAATGAGCTTGTATTAACACCTGACTCCCAGCCCTAGCTGCTGTTTGTTCCTCTATGTGGGGTCCCCTGGGCCCTCCCCCAGGCAGAGGCAACATATCCCGTGATCAATAACAACATCCTAGAAGGCTGGAGGGGAGGGTGGAGACAATCTTTTACATACTCTTGTATATCTTGCTATAAACCTTCCTCTTCATCCACCATCCTTTCATTCTTTTGTCAGCGGTCAATGCTGTCAGCAAACAGGGAGCGTAGGCCACCAGTCGACAAGTCAGACTTTTTATTGGCTCTTCTTGTCAATCACTCCAGGGTTATTTCAACAGCCTTGTATGGATCTGTTCTGAATTTTAGGTTTGCCAATATTCTCTTGAAGCTTGCAGTGTGCACTCAGTTCTCCTGTGAATTAGCTTCCTCTTCCTTCCTCTACATTCTCACTTCTCTGTTTCGATCTTTCTCCCACTCGCAATCTTGCACCCTGGCTTACACTCTGGGTCTAATGTTGGATAGTGCTGGAGTGCATTTAGGAATGATCTGTGGTCTACCCACCCTGGATTAGCTTCAAACACAATATTATGTGCCACTGCGTTCGTATCGACTCCTCCTCACCTCTCATATGTCCCCCCTCTCCCCCCCTTGTGCTCTCTAGGCTCTGGCCATGACTGAGGTGAACGGTCCAGGCCCCCAGGTGGCGGAGCCGCAGATTGCCATGTTCTGCGGCCGTCAGCTCCTGCGCATGAACACACAGACTGGCCAGTGGGAGCCGGATCCTCAGGGCCGCCAGGGCTGCTTCAAAGAGCCAAGTGAAATCCTGTCCTACTGTCAGGAGGTAGGGACCCGAAGCTTGACGTGAACATGAACTATTGAACACCATTCTGGATCTCTATTTCTAACAGTAACATTATCAAAATCTGAATCACCCTTAATGGCAAAGTAATCCAGAACCTGTTTTGAAAGAATGTAGCATGCAACAGGACACTGCAAAAGATTTAGGAAAATCAAGTTAAACTTCATATTCTTTTTCTCTAATTTGGTTTGTCCAATACCTGTCATATAAATCTATATATTTAACCATATATAGTGAAGTGATGGTGGCCTGTTGGAATATTTCAATATTTCATTTATCCCACCATCCACTTTTCCTCCTCTTGTTACCTGATATGTGTACTCATTAACATTTACTGTAACCAATGGTACACATACTCTCCAAACACTCCTCCTTCAGAAATATATATTTGAAATAAAGACAGCCAAGCGCCATCTGGAGGTCACAGTAGACATTGCTGCAGAGAGCAGCAGCCATGAGCCTGAACTGACTGTAATGCGATTAGCTGACAGTAGTGTATCTGTGATGGGTTTTACACAAAAGCCTCCCTTTTTTCCTTGACATTTATGAAGAAAGCTTTTTAATGTGCATTCAGACTGTGGGACAGTGACATTTCTCTCACTATTAAACCTCATTATGCATTTGTGCTTCAAATTATTGGCCTAGATTTTAAATGAAAGTGAAATTGGAAATATTAAGAGACAAGAATGCTCTTTGATATGAATGAATGAACTTCAGTATGCCATGTCTAACGTGGCTTAAGACAAAGGCCTTACACAGCTTTGTGTAAGTAGTTAGAGAATATGTTGCATGACTCTTTCCCTTGTTAGTCTTCTCCCCACTGACTGTGCTCTCCCCCCTCTTCTTCCCTGATCTGATTATTCGACCCCTCCCAACCATTCCCCAAATATCTTCCCTAACCAACCGTTCCCTGTCCACTGCTCCTCTTGTCTTCAATCCCCTCTGTTCTGCCCATCCATCTATTTGTCTCTGTGTCTCTGTTGTCTCTGCATGTACCTGTATGTCCAGATGTACCCAGCACTTCCGATCTCTCATATAGAGGAGTCAAAAAGACCTGTCACCATCCCCAACTGGTGTAAGAAAGGCTGGGGCCGCTGCCAGACACACCCTTTCATAGTCCTGCCCTACCGCTGTCTAGGTAAGAACATTACACCTCACTGCCATTAAGAAATGACACTACTAAGAATACATATGTTTACATTTTCTGTGTGTCCTTGTAGAAAAAAAAACCTCCTCGAGTTGTGAATGAGGAATAAAGAAGCATCTTTTTATATCTATAGACTGACTGCGTCCTTAAGGTCATGCCATCTGTTTCATAAAATACGATTATTTTAAGCATTTGGGCTTTCTTATTAGTGAAAGTTGAAACATAAGAGAGTGGGGGGGGAGACAGGGGATGACATGCAACAAATATTATTTGCTTTATTTCAAAGAGTTGAAAAGATATGAAGATATTGATATCATTTTCGTGTCTGTCCATTTAAAAATGAAACTACAACCAGCAATTGGTTAGCTTAACTTAGCACTAAGACTGAAAATGTGAGAAACTGCTAGTCTGGCTCTTGTGTTTCAAACATGAAAAGCACAATTTTTGTGCCACATATGACTTTCCATTGATTTAATATCTGGCATTCTAGTACTACCATTACCTTTGCATGTGTCCCAGTGCCACAGCTGTGTGCTTATGTTAGTATTAAAACTGTAGATAAGTAGTGATACAAAGCAGGATGTTCAGTTTAACAGAATTGGCCATGCCTGCTATGAGCCACCAGAGGGACAGATAGACTAATAATGGATGATTGAATGATTGAGTGAGTAATGAACAGTGAGTCACCCTGGATTCATGTTGCATTTTGGTTTGTATGCACAGCGCCGTAGAACTGGCTTGTTGATTTCTACTGTACTGCCTGTTGTGTGGGTGAACACTTTCCTTTATGCATGAGCCCTGAAGAACAGCGTGCAGTAGTAGTACTGTATAAAGAAAGCGGTTTGAAATGAATATAAAATATAAACTAGAAGACCTCTTCTTCATTTCTGTATGCTTTGTTGTATAAAACAAAGCAGTCATCTGCATTTATGATCTTTGTAATAAATGTTTTATCTTCATTTTAAGCAAAGAACACTTTTACTTTATGTCATTAACTTACTACTGTAGCTGCAGTTTGTCTGTTCAATGTGCTTTTGCACATTATACATTCATTCTTTCTGTCAGTTCACATCAGTATCACATAGCTCATAGTTCAGAAATGGAAATGGAATATAAAATTCATAGATATGTTTTCATTAGTGTATGATCACATGAAAATAACAATCATGTTTTCGTTACCTTAGAATGAGCCATTTCTGTCTACAAATGCCGTGGGTCGGCTTCTGTGGAGGCCACCATGTTGAACCGCGATGCTCAGAACAGACAAACCGAACACTGGCTCTAGATAGGGTCGTTCGCGTTTTTTGTGCATTTTGCAACCACAGTAGTTCCTTCCCTCCTGGTGTGAAAGGGAGGGTGAAACAAGTGAGCTCCAATCTGCAACTACACCGTTAGATGCCACTTAACCCTACACACTGAACCTGTAAAATAATCGTACTGCTGGAAGTTAAACTGACCTCCGCTTTTCTTCAATCCTGCTGCAGAGGGTGAGTATGTGAGCGAGGCCCTGCTGGTGCCCGACCGATGCCGCTTCCTCCACCAGGAGCAGATGGATGCTTGTGAGAGTTACGTGTACTGGCACAACATCGCTAAGGAGGTGAGAAGGGCAGGGAAAATAGCGTTTGAACAATTTTTAGATGCTTAAAATTGTACGATGGAGGCCTGTGAATAAGGAAGAGAAACGTTTACAGCTACGTTAAAGCAGACGGTTGATTTTTATGAGACTTTCGACTGGTGTATTTTTTAAATGAATGAACAATAAACTTTCCAGAGCACATTTAAAACCTCTTGGTTTGCCAGCCCTAACAGCAATAGCAGGCTAGACCAGACAAGTCTGCACAGTGGTGGTGCATCACATCATGCTTCATCAGTACGCCTACCTAAGGTGTTTGTTACAAAGCAGGAAGGTGGCAGAGTTCAAGCTTTAACACTTCCTTCATATCACCATCAACTTTTTCTATTCAGAGAGAAGAAACTCAAAATTATCTCTTGTTGCATTTAGAATTTACAGTATTTTATGCACCTTTTCTCTTAGGAATGCACTGAAGACAATCTGGAGCTCCACAGCTACGGGATGCTGTTGCCATGTGGAGACAATTTCCGGGGGGTCGAGTACGTGTGCTGCCCAGGCCGAGGGAGCTCCAGTGGTAAAGGAGAGACGGAGGAAAGAGACGTCCCTGCTGGTCACACACTCACACCGCAGACCAGTGGAAAACTAAATTCTGTGTAAGATGATTCAGCTCGACCTCATACAGATTTTTAAAGATAAGAGATTGGGTGTTAGTCATTTGAGTAATGACTGTTTCCACCTCTCCACAGCACCAAAGTGACAGCCCCGACCCCAAGCCCCTCTCCTGACACGGATGTGGACGAGGCCGATATGGAAGAGGAGGATGATGAGGTAGTGGAGGAAGAAGAGGAGGAAGAGGAGGAGGAGGAAGTTGATGAGGAGGAGGCGGAAGAAGAGGAGGAAGAGGAGGCAATAGCTGTAAAAGATCCAGAGGAGTATGAATACCCCATCGACTCAGGTCCCTACCAGACATCAGACTATCTGGACTCCTACTACTATGAGAAAAGCCACAAACCTACCACCTCTGCACCTCTGATGAAGAGAGACAGCTGTGAGTGTCCCTGGTTTTAAAAAAAGTCTGATTGTTTATTTGCTGTGGTTAACAACTCAAGACTAAAAAGCTGCTGATAGCGTCACTCCTTCTTTCTCGGTCTACTCTAGTTTCCAGTGCACTTCTCCTGCCTTTAATCAGCCTGTAATGGAAGGATAGCTCTGTTTTTTCCCAACACTACGTCCATACTCATGCACCTCATGCGTGTATGTGGTATATGCATGCAGCAGGCGTGCACACAGTTCAGGATGGGAAACCGTGATAGTGCTCACTGTCTGAGATTAAAGGAATGAAATTAAATTGAAAGAAAAAATGCAGTGTGTTGTTACTTTTTCAGTCAGTTTCAATCCAACAGTACAAACCCTTGTGCTACTTTCTGTTTTGTTTTTTTATAGATTTTCTTTTGTATTTGGAGAATCATTACATGTATACATACAGTACAAACGTTAAGTGTATTTTAGAAAAGATCCCATGTTTGTTATCACCATATAACCTTTAAAAGAAATAACGAAACATTGTAACAGGTTTAACAGATAAACTAATGCACTTACTTAATTACTTACTTACCCCCATTGTGTCACTCACATCAGACCTCCCATCAACTTTCAAATTTGGCCTGAGCAAGCAAATGTCAGTTTCCTCATCACAAAAATATGTTGAATATGATTTTAACTAATATTCTACCATATGAGTGTCTGATCTGTTTCCTAGTAAGAGCTGTTGTACATTTAAAATAATATGGGTTTATTTTAAAAACAGTGAAGAGTATTTTGTCTCTTACCCAGATCTCAAAGCAGAATGGGGTCAGTAATTTAAGCAATATTTTGAATCAAAGAATATCTGAGATTTGTGGAAAGCCGTGAGAGCTTATAGTAATGATTCATCGTTTTGTATTTTGTGTATTTCCTGTTACTATGCTGGGGTTAGAGAGAATTATTATCATCTTCTACCCAGGACATTCTCTCCAGGACAAAGCTGATTTCTTTAGTTGCTCATTTAATGTTTCCCATTCCTCCAATTGTAGTGTAAAATTGCCTTCCCTCTGTCTTGCTATTCTCTCAGTGCACACCCCAAGACACATTTTGACTAGGGCTGTTCTTTTAATTAAAGGATAATTGCTCTCTGCTTTCTTGCAGTCTGCATGACAGTAATAATGTCTGTTTTCTGTCTTTTCCATCTAGTGACAACACCTCGGCCCACAGATGGCGTTGATGTTTATTTTGAGAAGCCAGTAGATGACACTGAGCATGCCAACTTCCTGCGAGCCAAAACCGACCTGGAGGAGCGCAGAATGAAGCGCATCAATGAGGTGACTTTCACAGGGCTACGAACAGGCTAATAGTTTGTTGGCTGGCAGGTTGGACAGTTGATTTCATTAATCTGGAGTTAGACTGCCTAATCTAATTCTCTCACGACAGGGGCACTGCAATGTTTTACCTGCATTTAGGGAAGCAGATAAAGAAGAACATAATAGAAATATCACATATGCCCAAGAAAAGTGAGCAAAGCAGCGGGATTTTATATCATGGATAGTTGATGGTATATTTTCCTATGTGTAATTCATCCTCCTTTACTATATTATTTCAACAGAATAAGATATCAGAATATGATATCCATGAGTTAAACGTATTATCTAAAACTATTAGTATGCTTTGCAGTGGTTGTGGAGGCAGAGTTTGATACATAATGGAAGTCAAGAGTTTAACACACTTAACATCTGACCATGTTTGCAAGTGTATATTTTTGCTCACAGCTTCTGTACGACTTCAAGATTGTCTGTTTGCTTTGAGGTTTGGCTGTGGTATCACACACCACAGATATGGTGTTTTCATCATTGCTATCAGGACTTCTTGCTCAACAGTTTCGATGGGCACCGCGTCTTAAAGCACAGTTATGCTGTGCTTATTACTGGCCCTTTGAATAAAAAGGACAACTCAGTCATGTTCATGTTTTTTTCTTTTTCTACCAAACATTCCCCGTAACCGAGGTAATACAAGATGGAGATTTATGACTATTATCCCACTTTCTTAAAGCAATTGTTAAACATATTGGGAAATACTCTTTGTTGCAGATTTTGTTATCTTGTCTGGTCGTCATGGCGAGGTTGCCTTTCAACCAGCAGAGACTCCAGGAAGTCATTCTCAACATGCAATCCTCATTTTTACGTTTTGCATGTCAACATACAAGATATAACAGGTTAATTAGTGAGTTGTAGAGGTGCTGGTAGGTATTTTCCTACCTTTGGACAGAGCCAGGCTAGTGTCAAAATGAGCTATGTGAGACAGAGTGGTATATATCTTCTCATCTAACTCCCAGCAAGACAGGAAATAAGTGTATTTCCCAAAGTGATCAAACTATTCTTTTAAATCAAATATCCAAGTTTTAAAACACCAAACCATGTCGAAACTTTGATCCATAATCATGTGACATGTCTTTATCAGTGTGATGTTAAAACAGATAATACTTTTATAAAACTAAACTGCTATTATGTTCCTTTAATTCCTTAGATCATGAAGGAATGGGCAGAGGCAGACAACCAGTCAAAGAACCTGCCAAAGTCAGAGCGACAGGCCCTGAATGAGGTAAGCAGACGATTTTTAACCTGCTTTTCAGTAGTTTAAATTATCCTGTGGTACATGTAGCATTGGCTTTACCTATCTTTGTATCTACTCCCTTACCTTTCCTACACCAGCACTTTCAGTCTGTGCTGCAAACACTGGAGGAACAGGTCGCTGGAGAAAGGCAGAGGCTGGTGGAGACTCATCTTGCCAGAGTGGAGGCCATACTGAACAACAACCGACGCCTGGCCCTGGAGAACTACCTGACTGCAGTACAGTCTGACCCCCCTCAGGTAAGTCCATCATGGAGTACATAGGAGGGGGGTAAAAAAAAAAAGACATAAATGAAAAGTTAAACCGGGCAACAAACACTGATCTGCTTTCACTGTGGTTGGCAGTGTGTGGGTTGAGACTTTATCTCACTGACTCTGTCCTCTCTTTAACTTTGTCCTCTAGCCAGAGCGTGTGCTGCAGGCTCTGAAGCGATACATGGCCGCAGAACAAAAGGACCGCAGACACACACTCAGACATTACCAGCATATTGTTGCTGTCGATCCCCAGAAGGCCGAGCAGATGAAATTCCAGGTATGTGTGTCTCCGAGAGAGAGCCTCTGAAATGCTTTTTTGCACTTGCGCTTTTGAGATGCAAGACTCCTTTTTTGCTGACCATGAAACATACAGAACATTGTGGGCTGAAGAGTTAGTACGTGCCACAGATGAGTTAATTAATACTGAACTCACAAAGGTGAACCACCTACCAATCTTCTTTTCATCAAACGTAGGTCAAAGCCAGGCTTTGCTGACTTCAAAAGCAGCTTTAGACACACAAATAAAAAAAACTCTATCTGGACTTTCAGTTTTCACTCGTTTATGGAACCAGTTCTTTTTCACAGCTAAGACCAGTTTGACACATGGTTTGAGCTCTGTTGGCCTACTCTTGGTAAAAAGCCTGAGCAGATTTTTATATTTTGCAGGTGTACACACATCTCCATGTTATTGAGGAGAGGATGAACCAGAGTCTTGCACTGCTGTACAAGGATCCCTCCTTGGCTGAGGAGCTGCACAATGATATCCGTAAGATAAACTACTGTTACCCATCATTTCATCAGTTTTCAAATCTGCAGACCCTTGTGTGTGAACTAGTATTTTTTATAGTAATTAATTACATCAGATAACCGTCCTGATTATTTTTTTTTCATGTATCACCTGTAGAGGAGCTGGTCAAGGCAGAAAGAGGAGACATCAGTGAGCTCATGACCACCTCCTTCTCTGAGACCCGCACTACTGAGGAGCTTCTGCCAGCGGAGAGCGAGGAGGAAAAGGATGATGAAGAGGAAGAGGAGAGAGCATTCCAGAACAGGCCTTATCCTATCCGCATTGGTATGTATCCACATATTACTCATACACACACCCATAAATTCAGCGTCCTTCGCTCTGCCCTCATTGTTCAAGTGGCATGTAAGAAGATAAACTACTTCTCACAGTTAATGTCTCCCCCGCCTTTTTTTCCCTAAAGAACTGCAGTCTAATAAGAAAGGTGAGCTGGTGTTTTGCGGTTTATAATGATTGCCATGATTTGTATTTCTCAGTTTGGCTCACAACTAAATGTTTTATTCCATTTTTTGGCTCCATCCTTAGTGTCTGCAGTCGAAGAATATGATTATACCACATCTGAGAGAGGCCCTACTTATGAATATGAGGAAAAGGTAAGATTATGATCAGTTGTATCTAAAAAGCTGGTGATATTTCAAATAGATTCTATCCCAGTTAAATAGGCAGTGTGCTTAGACACAGAAGTATATCCTTTTCAACGTCTCTGTGTCCGAATATTTTCCTCTTATGTCTCCTCTTAGATCAACACCTCTGTGGAGCTCAAGCAGGTAGTCAACAAGCCTTCTGAGATTGAGAGAGATGAACTGGTAAGGAATGATCATGAATTAAATTAAAATGACACAATTCATTTTGTCCTTTGTTCAATGTCTCACTGCACATCTTTCTCTCCATAGCAACCGGATGCCTTGGAGACATTTAATCGTGGCGCCATGGTGGGATTGCTGGTGGTGGCCGTGGCAATTGCCATGGTGATGGTAATCAGCCTGCTGCTGGTGCGCAGGAAGCCATACGGCACTATCAGTCATGGCATTGTAGAGGTACGACCCCAGAAAGGCCCTAAGTTTCTTTACAAGTAAAGGACCACAAAACTATGTATGTGTCACATCATTGCCTACAGTCACACTGTGATTAATTTCCTACTTTCAAAGTATTTGTTTCCATTTATTTCTTACGATATGCTTTATTGTCGGCCAAAATATAAAGTATATTAATTTTTTATGTGTTAAAACATGTAACAACAACTGGTATGATCCTTTAGGGTAAATTCATAGTTTGACATTTTGGGAAATATGCTTATTTGAAATATATTAAATGAGAGGATTTATATCACCCTCACATCTGCAAGGTAAATAGGAAGGTACAGCCAGAAGCTGGTTAGCATACAGTGGTTTATAAACTACTGTATGAATAAAGACTGGAAGTAGCTAGTCTGGCTCTGTCCAAAGGTAAAAATGTCTGCATCCAGCAGAGACTTTGTAGGTGCTGGTATAAGAAGTAATTCAGCTCATAAAACCCCTGCTAACGTCTTGTTTATACTCTTAAATGTTTCTATAAATTAAACAAACAAGATATTAGACTAGTAACTAGTGAGCTTTAGAGGTGCTGGTAGGCAGATTTTATTTTTGTTATCTTTTGAAAAAGCCTTGCTTGCTGTTTACCCATAATTTCAGTCTTTATGCTAAGATAAGATAACTGACATACATACTTAGTTCCCATATTTTTAAACAGTTCCTTTAAGAGGCCATTAATGGTTAACTACTGTATAAGATGGGGGTTAGACATGTTTCTTTGAGATAATTTTAGCTGAAGTTCAGCAGCTGGACCACAACTCAAAACACTCCTTCCTGTCATACGTCTATGAACGCCTTCCTGCCCTGCATGTCTGTTTGTTCTTGTTTTCCGTGCATGCAACCTCAGAACATCCAATTAGCTTGCAGACTTTAACTCCCCTCCATTCACCAACTGGACCTGCTTAGGAGACTCAGCTCACTTAATCATGGTCTTCCAACCATCCCAAGCCGACCCATGGTACATCTGACATTCCAGACCTGTGCAATGGTCAGGTCTCTCTGTATTATCAAGAGGCTTTTTGGGGTCTCTGGAGACTGGAAGCCATGGTAGATCCTTCCCGAAGCTTTCTCACATTGCAGCTGTCATCTTGCTTCATCATTCCCATCTGACAGTCAATACATCATACGATAATATCTATCATATGATAAATCTGTGTGACACTATCATATCTGTGTTGTTCTTGCTCATAAATATGTCTTTAGTGTGTAATAATTGGAGCTTTTGTGTGTCTCGCAGCAGGTCGACCCCATGCTGACACCAGAAGAACGACAGCTCAACAAAATGCAAAACCATGGCTATGAAAACCCGACCTACAAATTCTTTGAACAGATGAACTGAGGTACTAGGGCTGTCAGCAAGTCATGCCTGACTATTTGTTTTGTCCCCCAACCCCCCACTCTTCCTTACAGTGGTCTCCCAGCTACACTCCCTTTGACGGATTTATAATGTGTTGCAAACATAAAGTAACTGCATAAGTACAGGGTACGTCCCAAACCCATTGTAAATTACCAACAACAACCTATCATCATTACCAGAATGTGAATAATGAGATATGATATGATCACTTATTGTAATCTAATACTCCTCTGGGTTAGAGTCTGAGAATTGCTCTTTCCATTAGCAGTGCCACAGCTTTTCATAATCCTGAAAACATTCACCTCATAGACAGGAAAACCATCCCAGTGGCATGACTTGACCTATTGCCCCTCACTAGAAACTGAAGTTGAACGGTGCATAATGGTTTATAGTATTTATTTTTCAGTAGTAGTTTCTTTATTGAAATTGTACCACAGTTAGATATAATGTATCTGTGTAGATGAGTGTGAGTGTGAGCCTAGTTAAATTATGGTATCATTCTCAATTTAAAACCCACTCAGTGATAAAAGAGCAATTACCAAGCTAATTGTCAAAGTCACCTTACCTCCTTTAGCTACTGTAACATTGGACAATACCTCTAATATTAAGACATGAACATTATTCAGTGAGGATGTGGAGGAGTTTACTTTGAATGTGTGAGACCTTTTAAGCTTTAATTTAAAACATAGAAGGCCAAAAAGACCACACTAGTCGATACAGAACTACTGTATGTGCTGGTGGTACAAAAAAACATCACGTTTTTTACTTTTGAGGATAAATTATTTGGCAAAATAAACCAAATATTGCATTTAGCTAATTTAGTCAATGAATGAGTTTATTTTATTTGTACTGCTACCTAAAGAACTGTAAAACAGAATAATCAGAAAGCCGTTATTTTAAAGGAAGCATGACAACTTGCTGTATGATGCAACTGAATTTATTTGTGTTGTTCTTGTCATTGCTTTTGAAAAGTCGGAAATGTCACCGTTCAAAATGGACACTGTAAATAACGTAAGAAATACATACTACTAGATGTAGACATTTCTATGATTAATTTGCATTGATGTAATGGAATAAAACATAAAAATAGTACATTGTGCTGTTACGAGAGGGAGAAACATTTTCCTAACATGGCTGATTGAAAACGGACTGTTGTAAAAACCAGCACAAGACAACGACACAGTAACTTTTTTCTGAATGTATTTAAGGTAGACGTTGAGATTCCATGTTCTTTTCAGTAACGCATCATTCCCCTAGTAGACTGAGTAGTGCAGCTCAACACATCCGACAGACAGACTACATGCCTGATGCCCCTATCATCACTTCCTGTAGCAGCCTGTTCATTTTCACATTTGGCAGGTTTCTATCAGATCAGAGGAACTTAAAGCTTAGGCGCATTTTACTGTACAGAGGTATGCACAGAGGCCACAGCTATAGTAATGTGAAGTATCAGTGTGTGTAGTAAGTCCTAAAAACAGTCCACACTCGGGCATGATAGTAGTAAAACATGCTGTACGTCTTTAAATCTGCCAGTTTGACAAATTTGGACTCAACATTGAATGTTAGTACTCTATAGATGCTGATATTTAGGTTACTCATAAATAGCTTTTCACTGAATGACTCATTGTAGTTTGTCATATTTATGATCAACATAGTACCCTGTATAGGTTAAGGGAAAAAGGGATAGCCCCCTTTTTTCTGGCTGATTGTTAACTGCTTAGTGTGTCAGATTGATTTCCATTAGCCACTTAATTCTATCAGACCGTCTTGGTTAAGGGGGGTCACATTGTGGGGTGTTGTTTTTTTTTCCATCAGTCTTTACCTATATGCTAAAGTATAGATAATCCATACCAAAATGAGTTCATATCTTATTTATTTCTTACTGGTGGAAGTTTTCTTTAAACACCTGCATTTGTCCATTCAGAGGAGAAGTTGGTTACCTTCATCTTTTTTGTTTTGATTTGTTTTCTGTAAAGTTTGCTTTGAAATAAGCAAAAGAGTTTGATTATTGGAGTTACGGTTTAGCATTAATCTTAAGTTTTTTCTCTCGTTAGGCAGGTTAATTGCAGGTTGTGGTTGTGTTATGACAGGCGAAGAGAAGTCATAGCCCTTGTATAATTTGTACAGCTATGTTAGTGAATGAAAATGTTGTATGTTCACAGTTTAAGTCAGTTGATCTTGTAATGATACTACTGAAACCATAGATGAGAATAAGCTTGCCTGTGTTTCCCAAACCACTGAAGGTTTCCTACCAGCATTTAGCAGACTTAGAATGGTGTATACTGTAGTTACTCAAATCACATTTGTACGTACGTCCTCTGTCAAATTCTAGACTTCTTTGTTGGTCTGTCCCCTTACTTCCCAACAAAATATAAACAATGTTATTGAGATTTTAATTGCTGCATTATTGCCTTTTACAATGCTGTGTTTTGGATGTAATTATTCTGTATTTTTTATTTATATGTAATAATCAGTTGGATCAAGGGTCATGCTTTTCACCTGTAATGTAATTTAAGAGGCTTGTATGAGAAAACACTGACAAGTTTGTAATGTTCAGAAATGTGAAATAGAGACCTGGCCTCTGCCTAATTGACAAGGAGGGCCACTAAGCACAAGTAGAACCAAATAACTCAATTTGTGTACAGGTTGCTAAATGTTAGACATTTATTCTGTCTGATTTCAATTAAACTGCATTGATTCTAGGGATGTTGATAGCATCGTCGAGAGCTGTTCTTCATTTTCATTCAGACCTTTAACCAAAGACATGCTCCACAAATAAGCAGGCAGATATTCCAATTTGGCAAAGTGTTCTCTGTTGTGTAACTGTATTTGCAAGCAATCTGAGAAATTAAAACTGGTCAAGCTAAATAATAGTGTAATAAAAATGAATGACCCATAAAGAACAGTGTCTGTGCTTATTCAATCACTTGTGCGTTAAAATGCATGTTTTCTCTCTCTGAAAAAGACCGACACCATGTTCACATCATTAGGAAACTTGATGCAGTCATCTATCATGACACAACATCCATGAGATTGAAAACTGACCATGATTTAACCTGTGTAATGAAGCCTATGATGTAAAAGCCACAGTAAAGAGGGGAAAACCATCTACTTACTCACTGGAAAATGAGTTTTTTTCTTCACCTGCATCTCCTCAGTTGAATTTCTCTGAAAAAAGAAACCTAAAGTATACTTAGAAGACATTGGTTTTTCCTGTGTTACAACATAAAACTGCAATTGGTTTCCTCATTGAATGAACAAATACGTTTACCTCAGTGCTCAAGCTGTGATTTGACAGCAATAATGATGTTACAGTCTGAAAGTCCTAAAAAAAAATCATAATCATAAAAGTTCTTGCTCATCTGTGTCAAACACTGACGTAATACATTTGATAGTAAAACTTTCTACAAGATAAAAATCTTACCAACATTACGGCGTATGATAAGGTTTTCTCTCAGTTCTCAGTATGGAGTTTCAGTAACTCCTTAAGCCACAGTGTCATTTCTGTTGGGCCAAAATTGCATTTTAGTTCCTACGAAAGGTAAACAACACACAATGCTTATCACCTCATTAACCTCAAAGAAACTGGAGAAACAAAACTTATGTTTCACTGTATTCAGTTTAATTCGGTTTTAATTAAGTTGTGTGTATTAGGTACCAGTGCTAAAACATTTCATTTACATTAGAATTCTAAAAACAGTGAAAACCAACCAACAGAGACAGTACAGTACTTTTAATTACCCATGATAATCTCCAAGTCATTGAACAATGTTGAGAATTTTCCTTTGAACTTAATGTAGGGCTATGACTAATTTGTTGTAGTGTGTGTGTGTGTGTGTGTGTGTGTGTGTGTGTGTGTGTGTGTGTGTGTGTGCGAGAATTTACTTTTGTCTCATAAGTAAATGACTGTATTCATCAGCTCATAGTTTGTGCTTTATGTTGTGATAAGCTTTAGTAAACATGGGATAAAATCAACGAGTAATCTGCCTTGACACAGTTCCCAAGCAGTAGTTCACCTGACACACACTCTAGCGTGGGTAGGCCTCACACTTCCTTCACCCACAAATTACAAAGAACTGTCAAGCCCAAGCCCCTAGCCTTGCACAGGTTCACTTCTTCCAAACCACAACACTGACGGGTAGTCCTCCTTACCCAGATTACTGTGAAAAGGTTCTGTGGCTGTACAGTGACAGTTTGTCATTGATGCCTCCAGCGCACATCAGTCATCTTGTTAGTGGTTCCTCTGAAGTCGACTGCTCACATACCGCCACTGTGGTAATGTAAGACGACTCATATTAACCCAGACTTTTATCACGTTGCATTTTGAGTGTGCGTTTTGTTTAGTTCAGTAACACTTTGATTCATTCAACAAAACAACAATATGAAACCCCTTAGTATGCAGAGATTAAAAACCTTGGTAGGTAGATCAAAGGTGTTATAACAGGAGTTGTGTGCTTGATAAAATTAAAAGATCATCATTTACATCATATGAAATGTGTGGGTGCATAAGGTCACAATAATGCTGCATATGCATTAACTTCACATACCGTACACGGTTAGACACCTCAGTGAGTCAGCAATGATGCTGGGTAGGGTGTCAGATGGTGATTGTTAAACTGACGGGGAGGGGATAGCAGGTGCTGAGGAATGTGGTGTAGGGGGCTGACAGTCTTGAAATTACTGGTAGGTGAAGCCCTGTGCATCACTTCTGGCTGTCTCCTTCCCATATAGCGCAAGATGACATTTAAGTGTTGGTATAATGCTAATTTCTCAGAGAGGAATAGATGAGATCAGACTGTCCAGTGGTTTGAGCAACACTTGACGATAACTGTAAGCACAGCCAAAGGTATTAACAGTAGCCCCAAATGTCAGCATATGTACATACAGCCCCCCACGCGCGCACACACACACACACACACACACACACACACACACACACACACACTTATGTTATCATGAATGGTCAGCTATATATAACAAGAAGAAGGTCTGTGTATAACTGGTGGAAAAAAGTGCACCAGCTGAAAATGCTTCATATGAACAAAAACTTTGTATGAACAAAAACTTACAAGAAATGTCACTGTTGCTCCTCTGCTAATGCATCACCTGGCAAACCTGTGATCACAGCAATTAAAAGGAAACCACAATGAGTTTAACACTATATTCATGTCCATATAGGTGACAAGCAGTGGTAGAAAAACTAAAATTCAAAATCTTACTCAAGTAATAGAACAAAAGTTTACACATCAAAATATATTAAGTACCAAAAGTAAAAGTAGTTATTATGCAGGATGGTCCATTTCAGAATCATATAGTTGCATTGTTACATTGTTTATGATGAGCAGTTGGTACCTTGCATGGCAGCCTCTGCCGTCAGTGTATGAATGCACTGACATAAAGTGTGTGCGTGTAAAGTGTTTTGAATGGTCGAAAGAGAAGGCTCTATATAATATATTTACCATATATTATATTACTGGGTTGTAATTGATTGATGCTTTTATGTTTTTATCTCTCTAATGTTGCAACTGCCGAGTAGCTTAACCTATAATGATATATCATAATTTATTAGCTGATTTATATTTTGCATTAATAATCTAAATCTGCAAATAAATGCAGTGTAATATTTCCTCTGAAATGCAGTGGAGTAGAAGTAGGTATAAAGTAGCATACAATTAAAATACTCAAGCAAAGTGCAGGTATATCCAAATTGTACTAGAGGAAAGTACTTGAGTAAATGTACTCAGTTACATTCTAGTATCGGTGACAAATGTAAAGGACACTGTGTTTAAATGCTACAGAATTTAGTTCGGAGGAGGATAAAGCTGCATTTCACAGTTGTGTACATCAAATTATATCTTCAACCACAGCTCAGAGTGCCGGATATTTTATCTGTATATTTTAACTTAGAAATGTAAAAACTAGTCAGCATCTTTGCTCATGATACTCATGGCACAGAAACATCACTGCAGGAAAATGGAGGGCAGCAATAAATGGCAAATGCATTGTTTACTTGTTGGGTCAAATGTATGCCAAAGGTGCCATTATGTGTGGATGGATTAATGTAACTGCCCCTCTAGTATATCCTCCTTCTCAATAATGGTCAAATAAAACCTGAACATAACATACACCGATCAGCCATAACATTACAACCATCTGGGCAAACCTGGTAGTTGTAATGTTAGTACTGTGATGCACTGTCTGTTCTGACACCTTTCTATCAGAACCAGCATTAACTTTTTCAGCAGTTTGAGCTACAGTAGCTCGTCTGTTGGATCGGACAACACGGTCCAGCCTTCACTCCCACGTGCATCAGTGAGCCTTGGTCACCCATGACCCTGTCACCCCACAAGAGCTGCAGTTTTGGAGATGCTCTGACCCAGTCATCTAGCCATCAGAATTTGACCCTTGTCAAAGTCACTCAAGTCCTCACACTGCCCATTTTTCCTGCTTCTAACACATGAGCCTTGAGGACAAAATGTTCACTTGCTGCCTGATATATCCCACCAACTTACAGGTGCCATGATATCTAGATAATCAGTGTTATCCACTTCACCTGTCAGTGCTCATAATGTTATGGCTGATCGGTGTATAGAATATATTGTAGTTACATAAGATCAGAGCTTGGTAAATAAACCTTTGAGAGTAGAGAGTATATGGGGTTAGTAAAATTCAAGGCCATCTCTTCCCTTGAACACTCACATATCACTGACAAAAACTGCTCATATAAACCAACAGCAATGTAACGAGAGTTTCTACAGTAGCCAAGAATGGACAAACCAAACACTGGCTTGAGATAGGCCACTGTAGTTTCTCCATTGGCGAGGAAGAGGAGTGATATTCATTATGGTTGCAATCTGCAAGTTTACCACTAGATAATCCTACACACTGCTCTGTTTTAGATGTTTTCGTTTCCCATTTAAGCTACACTTAACTGACCAATGTCTTCCTTCACACTAATAAGTCTGACCCCACAGCTTTTGTTCTGGTCAACCTTAGCCTGCATGAGATCAACCCTAATAACCTCTTGTCTTTTTAGCCATACTGCATTGTATTCTCCAGTCATTTTCTCAACTATGCTGATGACACTCTATATATATTATGTTAAAATGAAACAGCAGACATAAAATGTCTTGTTCCTGAATCAAAACACAGAGATATTGATACTTTTATGATACATTTTCAACAACAAACACAGATACTTACGGTAACATTAAAAATCATACAAAAAAGCTGCTTTTCAGAACCTTGAACAATGGACAATGACATTTTATCACATAACACCATTCTATCATCTGCTGCTGTTCAATTCATACCAGATGTTACTTCAAAAGGCTTTTGCCATGTGATACAAGAGCTTACACTCTCTCCTATTAATCAGATTTCATTGCATCAGAAATTCCGCCATCTGCTCTCCAATTGCAATTTACTGGCAACAGTCTGTCCCAGCTGTTGAAAGGAAAGTGCAGAAAGCAGTTTTTAATTTAGTTTTTGTTTCAGTTTGTAATCTACATCCCACACCAACAGCATGTCTGATTGTGCCAAATGCATTTTCTTTTTATGAGGTCTTCTAATGTTTTTTTTTTTTTTTTGCCTATTGGGGTTTTCTTTGGAGTTTTACATTTTCTTGTTTTCTTAAAAGTTCCATTATTGTAGTTCCATAGTGGGTCCACGTTTTGGCCACTTGGGTCAGAAGCACTTTACTTTAACCTGCATGACAGTGATTCTAGGCAACACTTGCTAATCCAGCAGGCACAAAGCAACATTAAGATTCAATAGGAGTTGTGTTTCTGGCGACATGATGAATGCAAGTCCAACATTTACTCTCCTTTTAGCTCTGTTTTGGTCTCCACCAACTCCTTAGGAAAATATCTGGCTCTTTAGCTGCTAAATGTTAGATATTTGCAACCTAATTGCTAACTTTGTCTGGATTGTACAAATAGTGCAATACTAAGTAAGATACAGATAGTAAGTTTGCACATTTTCAAAATGATTGTATAAATACCCACATATTGTAATGAAATTATATTATATTAATGATGTTTTTGAGATTGAATTCCATACTTGGAACAACTCACAATATATTTTTTATTTAAAGATTTTCTGGGTGCAACAACTGTCCACTGCCTCAGAGACAGACACATTTCCTGTTGGTAGTGCTTCAAACTTGATTTTAACAGCATTGAACACCAGCCAAGCCTGCCTCTCGTCCTGTCAACTGATGAATTCATGTGACCCTGATGTAGTACATGTACAAGCTAGTTTAAAGATACATTATTATCACTGCTTGATAATTCATAATTTAAAGGCAAACAAAGGAGTCATACTCAACCATCGTGGTCTGCTTAACTGACCAGGTCTCTACAGTTGGCCTAGTTGGTCTTTTTAAAAGGTTTTCACAATGAGGTCTAACATATCAACAGGGCGAAGCAGATATTTCTATTTCAAGGGAGCAGGTTTCAGTGAAGCCTAGCCTACATGTCGGTACAACTGGCCTTTTGCCTGTATGTTTCCTGTCACAGATCAGTCTTTGAAGTGGTTTTTGTCTCAGCATAGAACAGACTATTAATGTAGTGACCAGCAAGTGATGCTGGAGGGGAGGAAATCAGCTACAGCATGTACTGGTATACAGCATCATAGGGCACGCAAACATCCCTCAAACCACTGTCCTCATTTTTGTCCCTCTTTCTCAATCACCCAGACCCCTCCCTGCATAAAAAATTTTTTTGTTACTTCTTTTTACTTTGTGCTTTGCTTGTAATATAAATTTTAGTTGTCTATCTTTTAGCTTTAAGCAAAATAAAAATAATAATAAAAAAAAATGGTTTGTGAAGGTAATGTTTTTTTAGTCTTTTAAATCAAAAAGCAAACCATTTAGCACCATAATCAATGAACCAATGAGGGAGAGTTGAAGAGGAGGGACTGTAAAGACAAAGGAGGAAATCACCCTACCCCTCACCAAAACCTGTACCCAGACAGACATGTCTCTTTACAAGTCACTTCACAGTCATGATGCGAGGTAGCTCATCATTCTCCAGGGAGAATATTCACTAAACACCGGGTAAGTGTCTCATTCACACAGCTTTCTGCGTCTTACGACTTTAAACCACAAGCAGATTCACTTTATCATTGCTCATCTTGGTCTTTTTAGCTGTGTTTTCTGTGATCTACCCTGAACACTACCTAGCGCGCCACTATTGATCTTCTGTTGCCCATGGAGACTTTTAGTTCAGGCTTCTCTTCTCTTGTGACTCCAGTCCTTTATGTGAGCTGTGGGGAGGCAGACTGTAAGTTCATGTCCTGTCAAAGGATGTGTAAATCTGACATATGCATGCATGGTTTTCCCCCTTTGTAAGCACTGAGATAGTACTGTGACTGCAAGAAGCTTGAAGATCTGCTAGCTATGTCACAACTCTGCAAGAGTGCATTGTACATTTGAGCAGCATCGGGGGAATTTGACTATTGCATAAGCCAGTTTATTAGAAAATCAAATGTATTCTAAAGATTCAGATATGTTTTGCAAGGACTTGGACCCTAATAATAGAGACTATAAACAGAAGAATTGATTTATAGATCAGCAGCCTCAGGAGAGCACCAAAACATGCATTACTTAAACGCACAATTGAAAATTATACAACATACATGTCAAGTGCATCATATAATTGTGAGTAGCAATATTTGATAATACAATCTAACAGTTTAAACCTAAGTTTATGGATTGGCGCTCCACACGCTCTGCAAATGAAAAGAGATCATACCTACAAGGATTGTATTGAAGTTTGTATATTACACAAAAACACATGACATTACTTTTACAGTTTCTGCTAAATCTTATTGCACATAAATTAACATGTTTATGCAGTGTAGAATATCATATAAATCCACTCACTAAATTGCTATTGTCATAGTGCCGCTACTATGACTACTAACCCAATTACAACATTATATATATTAATAATAGCATTATTATATAATATATAATAATTAGCATTGAAATTATTTAAAAGGAAAGGAAATTCATATAAATAAAAATGACTGCTGTACAAAATGCATAATTGCGTACTGTACAAAAGTATTTTTAATTGGGTATAAAAAATTAATTGATGTCACTCAATACATTTCAGACACATTGTATGATATATTTTGTAAGCAAAATATAACAATTTTGATCAGGCAGCTTTTGACAGCCATAAAAGTAACTTGGTCGACCGCTTCATATTTATATACGCATACACGCATACGATAGGCCTCACTGAACTGATGCATGCTTGATTTGCATTATAATCTTCTGACGTGATCTCAACACAGTGCACGCAAGATTACACTTTTTTGTCAATGTAATGACTTTTTATATATATATATATATATATATATATATATATATATATATATAAATGAATACTAAAGGGAAACCTTAAGCTTGCTGTTAGACACTTACATACAGTAAATCTATATGACGTTCTGCTTATGACACTGGAGCTGCTCTACTGTCACTTTCACTCTCAGCGCTATGTGCTGTTTTGTTTGAATTATAAATAAAATAATCCAGAAATTATTTTTCATTATTGCTCTTTGGTGCAACATTTCCCAGTAGCTTCAATTAGCTTCTCTGATTAACGAACAGAAAGATATAAGAATGTGCAGATATGCATGCTAATTTAAAACATATTCCAGTAACGTGTCATTGTCATTTCGTTTCACATCTACTTTCCATTTACAGTCACCATCAGAGGACCGAATGGGGTTGCATTTGTGCAACAAAAAAAAGCTTCTGTAATAGCTCACAGTATTTGTGACCTCTGCTGCAGAAACCGACCACACACTGTATAATCATAAAAGTTCATTATAGACTTCAGACTGTGTGAAGATGACAACTTCTCAGGCATCCGGTAGTTTCGACACACAGCCTCAGCATTGTCATCCATGTATTCTCTATTTTAGATATGAAATTCCAAATATTTCTATGACATACTTACATATTTACATGTTCCACACCTGCAAACTCATGCATTTGATGTTTATCGTGTCTTATTGTTGTTGATGTTCAAACTTTACTTGTGTTTACTTGTGTGTACAGTCATTAGTCATGGTTTCATATACTGGTAAGGCTTTGTGGCTTTAGCGTGTGTATGTGAGCTACGAATATCAAAGCTTTGACAAAACTGAGTACATTTCCACACATCAACCAGACATTCAGACACGATATCAGACATGGTTGTGATTGAGGAGAGGCTAATAAAAAGACAGTGAGTGAATGCGACTGCTCATGAAGATATAAATACTTGGCTTTGAAGTCAAAATTCTCAGCCATTTTATAAAATGTTCTGCAAACTAGTTGAAAATGAAGTTAACCATTTGACCAACATGTCACAATATAAACAAATTAAAAAATCACCTTGGGTACATTCTTCTGCCCCCTCAACTCTCACTACAGGTAATGCTGTCTGGAAATTATGGAGAAAAAAACTTTACAAACCACAGAGAAACATATCTGTTAATCACAAGCCAATCCCTGCTGTTGATTTGCAAAGTGATTTTCCTACTTACAATTTAGCATTTCTAGAAATGTCACATACCTGGTAAATAAATGGAAAAAAGTTTAACAGTGTGGGCATAATCTCATGGGATCTCTTTCTGATTTGTTTTGTTCCTTTGACTTTCTCTTCTCAGACTTTTGATTATATTTCTACAAACTTCAAAAATGATCCGAATCAACAACACCCAATACTTCCACTTCTTGCAGCAGGCGGATGCCTTACGTCGCTCAGGGTCACTCTGTGATGCCATAATCTCAGTAAAGAGTCAAACTTTCAGGGCCCATCGGCTGGTACTGGCTTGTGCTAGCAGAAGATTAGCAAAGCAGCTAGCTCTAGGAGACATAGACAGCCCAGTCCACTGCACTCTGGAGTATTTCTCACCCCGCACCTTCCAGCAAGTTCTGGACTTCACTTACACACAGACTCTTGAGGTGTCTGTGGATGACCTGCACCTGCTACTGAGAGCTGCTCAGCTGTTGGAGATGCAGCTGCTGGAGGACCAGTGCCAGAAGCAGCTGGACAATCTCCACGACAGAGGCAGAGGGGAGAACAAACAAAGAGAAATCACAAATGTCAAAGAAGAAGAAGAAGAAAGTGTAGAGCAGACAGGTCGAAAGCGAGAAGGAAGTCCAGTTCAAGAGGAGAAACTCGGAATGACTTCTCCCCCAGGGGAGGAGGCAAGCAACAGCATTGTCACGGAAAACCTTTCACCCTCTGATTCTGTCAAGAATCACAACAATCTGCCATCCTCAAGAAAGAAGCCCAGACTGTCCCCTGTGTCAGCAACACCCTATAACAGAGACAGTGTCATTACAAGGCCCACCAGCAGCAGTTCCTCTTTCTCCTCTCCGTGGCCTTTCCATACAAACATGTGGAATTCTGTGAACACCCTGAGGTTGATAGCAAAAGACTATTCAAACTTAGTTGCAGGTCACACCCTTACGCCTCCAAACCAGACCTCGGTAGCATACCCGTTCTCCCTCACCACTCCCCACATGTTTCCCATACTTGGCCCCCATTTTCAAAGCTCTGTAATGGGCTGCTCAGCCTTACATCCACGTTATACACCAAACCTTTATGCTGGATCTACAGGTATGGGGAACATAATCAAGCAAGGCCTGTTAAAAAGAAAAAAACCCAGCCCGAGATCATTTACTGGGAACGTTCAAACCAGTGAACTGAGGTAAGTCTGCACTTGGACATGATTTTGGAAACTTCAGTTTTTTATTTTCAGTCATTGTCTCCCTATTTTTCCTCTCATAGACTCATTTAAGAACCCCCTAATTTGCTCAGTTGTTCCCTTGCGACAGCTACAGCTACCTGACTCATGCTGCTTGGGTAGATGTGTGTGATCGGGCCTCCTGCACTTTCCAACTAGAGCAGTTTCAACTGTTAACCCTTCCCTGCCAGTCCTAGTCAGTCAAACTATTTTGTTTGGACATATCATCCGAGTTTTCAGACCAATAACCACTCAAAAGAACATAAGACATACATATTTCCAATAAGTCTAAATATAAGTTTGAACAGTTTTTTGTTGGATTAAAACAAATCATACTTTTTTCTAATTCAGGATGAATGTACCACTGTCCTTTTGTGATACTAGGTAGCTGTTTTGGGGTAATTTACCTCTTTTTTACCTCTTTTTTTAAAAGTATATGATTACTGTACAGTGTTTTACACAGTGTAACTAAACAGTGTGTAAAGGGGAGCCCCCTAAATTTCTCCCCTCCTTTGCAGAATTCAAGATTTTCCACCCACAGAAACACAGTTTCAGTGTTTAGACTGTACCACAAGAAATTGTTCAAAACATATAAGTGTCTTTGTGGAAAAAAATAGCTATTCTTCAGTGTGACTTCATTATCCTGTTCCTTCTACTTTCACATATGAAAGTTAGATGAGCTTTTACTCAGAGCGAACGTTATAAATATCATGTGGTTGTGGATGGAGAGGAAGGAAAGGGTGTTTAAGGATGTAATCTGCGATAACACTTAATGTTGTAAAATACATGCAGACTGTGAGACTTTCACTTGATGTGTATTTCTCTAATGAAGTATCTCTTTATAACACAAATAAAAGCAGTTTCTTTATCATTGTTAAAGGCACAACTATTGTAATGTTTTCATCAGAAATTTTTTTTTCCACAGTTACCATGATGTACCCAAAGCCAGCACAGAGAGGGTTAAAGACTGCCAACACTGCAGTACAAGCCTCCCTGGTGATCCAGTGTTGCGGGAGTCAGCCTCCACACCATTGGGTAATGATATGATTATGACAAACAGAAAATGTTCTGTTTTTATACTTCACAACACACTGAACACGCTATTATTACTATGCAATAAGATCAAAGCTGTAGCAGTGGATATCGTGTGTAGAACCAATCAATCTACAATTAATTTAACATGATAGTGAGACAGTTCTTGTCATGACCCCTAACCTCGGCAGACTCCAGCGACATAGCTACGCAATGGAAAGTGATAAAGAGAGTTGTGGTTTTGAGAGCATGGTGCAGCAGGAGCAGTACTGTGGTTACTAGATACAGCTAGATACATGCAGTACAGTATGTACTGCATCACAGCAGTGGTTTGTCCCTTGCCAAAAAAAAATCATATATATTGATTTATTATAACACAGTTAATTCTGTAATATGAATGTAAGTCACTGCAATGACACAAAAAATTAGCTAAACCAACATTCTGCGTGTGCTTACATGCATATGTGATTATGATAGTTCAGCTTGTACAATCAAGCTGATAAACACAGTTTATCTGATGTTTAATATCTCTGCTCACTGGAACATTATGTTCATGTTTTAAAAGATCAGGCTATAGTAGAACCACACAGCTAACTGCATTGCAAGTAGTGTATTAACTTAGGAAATGTACAATAAAGTATATAATAATACTACTCAAGCAATTGAAAATATTTCTATAAAATGTGTAAAAGCACAAGGTAAATAATATAAATGTAGCATTCAGGCGCCTGTTTTTATTTTTAACTGATATTATATTGCTATATTACTGAAAATAAAAGCATAAGCGTAAGATGAAAAGTATAAGACATTATGTTTAAAGTGCAAACTGAAGAGAAATATTGGACAGGAAACATGCTAATGACAACAGGTCTCAGTAGGTTGTGTTTAGAGTGGTGAGTGTTCAATTGTTGTGGTTTATTCTCATTCTCTCGATTTCCCCTACTACAGTCCCACCTCTTATTTCAGCATCCTGTCTATACTATGAGGCCAAGTTTTCACCTGAGAAACCCTAAAAAAAATATAAGGTACCGAAAGGCTTCAGAGTTGCTACTTAAACCTCAAAATCACACCTTTGTAATTTTTTAAGAATCACTAAGTAGCTGCAGAGGAGACACTTGTGCAGAGTGACAGGAAAGTAAGCTGAATGTACTGTCTTGCAACAGGATGCTGACCGAAAATATACTTGTTGATTCTGAAAGGTGATTACAATAATGTATATCGGTGTAATACACTATTGTAAAATAAACTGTAATTTATTTTTGATAATTGGTACTATATCAAAGTGAGTTAGATCTCATTATCGACTGATCTGCTGATTATGTTCTCAATTAAACAATTAATAGTTTAGTCTATAAAATGTTAGAAAGCAGTGAAAAATGCAGAGCCCAAGGTGACGTAATCCAGTGTCTTGTTATATCAAACCAACAATCAGAAACCCCAAGATATTCAATTTACAATGATCTAAAACCAAAAAGCAGAAACGCACACTGGGGAAGCTAGAACAAGGGACTTAAACGTTTAATCGCTTATCAAATCATTAGCCAATTAATATCCCGTCAATCAACGAATCAATTAATCGACTAGTCGCTGCAGCTCTAAAAATGTATTTTGTTCACTTTTTAATTGGTCATTGTGGGGGCCTGTGGATGGCATTGCACTTTAATATGTTGTCTATGAGGACTAACATATGACAATAAAAAGAGTGAAAGAGCATAAAGGCAGAAAACAATAATTGCACTTTTAATGAACTGACATAGTAACATTAAACATGACTGAATACATGGGGGGTGCCATACTCAGTAACACTTTTGCAGGACTGTTGGGTGTTGCAGGAATTTAACCACAAAATATCTTTTTAAGTGAAATTTTCGTTAGGTCACACTGCCCACCACAAGATCGCACCTTCACCTGTTTCCTTCATCTTGTTGTTTGCACAGGTGGGACCTGTGCAGGGTGTCGGTTCTGTGGAAGAGGAGATGTTGTGCAGCATGAACCACAATCCCATCGACAAGAACACAGAGGGGAAAAACCCTACCAGTGCCAGCACTGTCCCAAGAAGTTTAGTCTGAAACATCAACTGGATACACACCACCGAGTTCACACAGGTAAGCACACTATTTAATCTGCAGTGCAAGACAAAATTGTTTTGGGTCTACTCACTCACACTGTTCATCATTTGTCAGAAATGACTGCAAATAGCATTTATTTTGATTGATTTAGATTTTTTCTGAAAAAAGAGAACATTGAGTAACTTCTGAGTACTCGATGGTTAAACATTACACTTTAGGATTTAAGACTACGCCTTCCCACAATGGGGGCAAAGAATATCTGCTGTAGGACATTAGAAAAAAAAACTACAAAGAATCCCCAAATTAATTTCAATATTCAATATATTTCTTTAAATTTAAAAGTGGGCCATCAGGTAAAAAGAGCCAGATAAGTACAAAAGCATTCGTGTACTTTGACTTTAAAAAACAAATTGCATTAAACTGCTCAAAAGTAACAATAGTGGGATTGGTCTGAGGTTGCTTAAGTGAGAGCGACGTGTCTCTAAAGCTACATCTGACAAGTTAGTTGTCAGAAAAAACGGCAAGTTAATGGCAGACGAGGGACTTTATGACTAATTTTCATTTTTATTGGCTCTTACAGATGTTTGAAAAGCGCTGTTCCTTTGACAGTTTCTACTCATTTTAATACTATACACTCACCTTACAGCAACTTGAAACTTGCAGACCTGAAACTTGCGTGAGATCCAATCCATTAATCAATGGAACTTTAACAGCTTTTAAAGCTACATTATTTCTATACGGCAATGCAATTGAAAGTGTGTTCTTACAACTGTATTACCATGCAGTGATGGCTTTAACAGTCACAGCAACATGGAGCAAAATATTGACTGTGATGGATTACCTATGTCAATTATAGTGATCCTATACAAATTGGATGCTGGAGTGTAAGTAATGGAAACCAGTGGCCAAAACACTACAGCACATTTAAACATGTGCTGTAAAAAAAAAAAAAAAAAGACTGGCAACAATATAAATTTTACAAGATCGTTTGTTGTAAATTGCTTTAAACATGCTAAACTACAAAAATGGCGCTAAACATACCCTCGAAAAAGGCCACTTTTTCAGATAAAATGGGAAGCTTTTCTAAAACCAATATCTTTAAGAGCAAATTTTGTGTTTCCTGATCTAAAACTTAAATATGAATTTGTCCTTTAACTGAAAGATGCAATCCTTACATATATTTTATCTTATCGTATCTAACTGTTCTATCAAACAATCTCCCACTCTCTCACACACACACAGATTTTCAAGAGTTTTGTTCAGAATTATATGTATTTAATTTAAGTACAAAGGTTTGGTTTAAACATGTCTGTAATATAACGCAATAAGGCTCTCAGACATTCTGTATTGCTTTCAAATATTTATTTTACTATAGATAAACTTGAAAAATAAAATGAATGCTTCCCCTGCTGAGTCGACACGCATGTAGGCATGATTTACTCTTCCGTTCTCTCGTGTCTTTTGTTTGTAAGTAACCTCTTTAAATGTGCATGTGGCACCTATTCACGTCAGTGGTAAACTAATTCATCTGATAAACAAACTCATTTGAATTAATTTATAAACCCCTTGACTTTAATAGCTCAAATGTGTTTCAGCAAGATTGCATCTGCTTACCTTCAAAACTTTATGCACATTCAAAACATATCACACATATCTGCGTTGTTAACTATATTATTGAAGCTGACTAAAAACAAGAATATACCACATTTTGGTCATAACTGATTAAAGCGTTGATCAAATCTATTAGAGAATGAGACCTTGTAAAGCCTTTGAATTCTAGAGAACAAAAACCGTAGGTTCCAAAGATATAAATATAAACTCAAGCCATGACCTACTTTAGGCATTGTTACGTCTATGAGTTGGGTGTTAGCAGTCTGTCAAAATATAAAAGGACCTCTTCGTGTTTCCTTGTCATGTCTACGCTTCTGATTTATCAGTCCATGCTGTTTATGTGTCATCAACATACAATTAAAGGGAAGATCGGATTTAATGGGACGTACGTGTACCTGTTAAATCTGGATTATACTCTGCAATTATTGCATCTAGATTAAATGTGACCCTGTTGAGTTGATTTCACTCTAAATCTCTCAATAGAAAAAAATTTGACTGGATAAATTGTAGTCACTTAAGAGGGAAATATATACAAAATTTACAAATGGTTGAATGCTGGCAAAGAATGCACTTTATATGCCTGAAAAACACCTAAAGGTTTCAGACCCTCTCTAAAGTGAGCCCACCCCTCCCTCCACTGCCTTCCTTCCTGTGCCCCCCCTTCTCTCTTCTCTTATGGTTCAAGGAGAGAAACCCTTCGAGTGTCGTCTCTGTGGCCAGCGTTCACGGGACTACTCAGCCATGATCAAGCACCTGCGGACTCATGGCGGGGCAGCGCCATACCAGTGCACGGTGTGCCTGGAATTCTGCAGCAGCCTAGTCGCCATGCAGAGACACGTCAAGAGTCACGCAGTGCAGGACTTCCCCCCTAACTGGACCATCAACAACACCTACCTTTACACCTCACACATCTGAGCCAGCACTCACAACAGAAGACACCTTTGTCTACACAAAGTTCTCATAATGTGTAGCTTTAGTTTGTGCCTATCATGTATTATCATTACATTCGAGTTTTTCTGTAAACCCAGAAGGTCCTTTAACATCACTTACCATTGTTTTGAAATAATAAGACATGAGAGGCACAAAATGGGACTATATGTTGCAATAACCTCCATACAAACTAGTCTAAATTCACATTCACAACTTTAGAACAGTACTCATTTCCAATGAGAAAAGGCAGTTAGTAAAGTATTGGGTCATGTACGTGCATTAAAGCCACGTGAACAGCTCATCCTCATCGAATGACGCAGGCCTCTTCCCTCTTACTTTCATAATTATTGGACGGCTTGTGTAAACTTTGTAAGTTTGACCAAGGTTTATAGCGCCCTCATGAGGGTAACCACTGTAACAATTTTATTTTATTTTATTTTTTTGTAATGTTGCTTACAAATGCTTCACCATGTCACAATGTGACCAGTGGCTCAGTTAGTATGTTTGCAGCTGGACAAAAAAAGTGCAAAAAAAGTGCTGGAACATATAAACACACATGCACTGATCCAGATTTAGTTTGAATCTGTCTATGATGCCTTATGCCTTCAATAAATATATCTATTAGATCCTTAAATCCTGGGGGGGGTCATTGACACGAGAATAACAGAGCATTTGTAGACAGTCTGTCTAGCCAGTGACAAACAATAGTCCAGCATTTTCTTGTATTTTACTCCTCCATTAGTGGATTTTCTGCATTGTCAGTCACTGATGGTTGCTGACCTAACTCACTGGTTGCAGTTCATAAGGCATGAATACAGTGACTAAAAGTGTATACCAGGTGTATCTAGCAACTACCATACCTCTCTAAAAACACCACACAAGTTATATGTGAAGTTATTCCCAGAAACCCTCATGTTTATCTATGTATGTATGTATGTATGCGTTATGTAACCTCTCAGACCGAGCTGTCAAGTTCAGGTCTCCACTGAGAGCTATTTGTTGATTTGTACAGCATTATCTTAATGAGTATGGGTTGGAAAATAGACAAATGTTTAAATGTATACATTTGTATAGGCTTCAATGGATCAATATTCCTTGTTTTATACTACTAATCCATCAAATAAACATGCTTACGCACAAGAGCTTTTGTGGCAATTCTTTCTAATTTGCACAGATGATAAAAGACACGTAGTTGTAAATGTCAAAGAAAGTTCTTGGGGGCAGATGACCACAACTTTTTCATTTTTATCATAATTGAACCTTTTCTACAAAGTATAGTATCTAGCTTAAATTCAAGAATTAATACAGTTATGCAGTGGTTAAGTGAGATATCAGATGTACCAGAGATTTATTTTAAAGAATTTAAAATGTACTTCTTTTTATACTGTCCAATTGCTCCTATATCTACACGATACCATGAATTCATTAAATCATTAAGTATCCAGTCTGCCAAGCAAAGAGTAGACAACTTTTGAGTGTAATCTTGTTAATCACTTACAAGGGTAAATAGTTTGTTTTCAGTGAGTCAAGTTGAGTACACGCAGTAATCTCATGCCAGAGCCATTAAATGGAGCACCTGGCTGGTTTCTCCAGTGTCATGCAGGGTTGAAAGCGAGCACCTCACTCAATATAGGCTGTTTTGGCTTGGTACATCATGCCTGCGCATAAAATGATGAGATGGAAGTGGTTGTTAGTGTTGATTCTGTCAAACATGTTAAATGCATCACAAGTTTGATCATCACTGAAGTACACCTCATTTGCCACACGGTGCCGCTATGGGTTTAAAAGAGTCAAACAATGCTTCTCGGGGCAGGGAACCATAGACATCATAGAAATGGCCTTTCCGTTTTGGAAGACATTTATTTTCCCTACAGTATCCTCTTACAATACTAGGCAGCAATTATATTGTCTTTCAAAATACAAACAGGGAATATAAACAGAGACAGGGCTGCTCTATACTAACTTTTAGTTAAGTCTGTTGGGATTACATCATTTATGAGTTATGAGTTTTTGTTTTACATGTAAAACAAAACTCATACATTGAATATTTGGATATTAATATGACAACTTATGAAACAGCTTGGGGTGTGGATAAGAACATCATCTTTGAAAAGAAAATTTCGCAAAATATTGTAATTTCCCTTTTTTACAACTTTTACCATTAGAAAAATAAACACAAACTTGACAGAGTGCCATCATTATGAGATAATTAGAAAGCTGCAGTTCATCTCTGACCTTCAGTTTTGCCTGTAATGTGGGAAGGTATGTCACTGGATTAGTTTTGCTGGAAGCTTATCTTAACCCTGTAAAAGTTACTCTGTTCTGTTTCACAAGATAACAAATGTAGACTTAATGCAACAAGATTCTGTAGAAACCATAGTCATCCAGTTTTATGATAATTCCTACTTAACATTTGTTTCTGAGGAACAGGAAACACAATGATGACGATATGATAATGTGGGCATGAATAGTTCTAGGTGGATAAGCATTCAGCATTAGTCATTTGAAATTTGTTTATAGCATACTCATGGTGCACACTCTAAATGAGCCAATACAGCAGAATCGAAATTTAGCAGAGCTGCAATAATGGGCCTCTGACTAAAAAAGTAAATGTTAACTGGCAAACATACTTTACATTTGGCTTTATTACTTCATCTACATCACAGGCAAAGTTGTTCCAGGCAAATAAGCAATGAAAAAATACCTATCAAGTCAATCCTTTACATGATTGTTCATTAGAAATCAGTGTTCCTACCGTTGTTGTTCCCCTTCTTCCCCCTCTTTCTCTGCGGTTCTCTTAATGCATTACATCTGCAACCAGCGTGTTGTCTAAGCAGACGTTATAAGCACAGCCAGCAGTGCAGACACAGATCTTTTCCATTTGAGAATGACCCAGTTAGTGTAACAAAGAAAACAAAACAAACTCTGGTTACTTCATTATTTATGTGCCAGAGTTTATCACCTAATTTTCATGCATATAAAAATCACAGATCAAATTGCTTTTCAGTTTCAGTTTTCATTTAAATGAGCATGCCAGTTTTTCTGATGATTTGTAAAAAGCAGTGTAGCACTATGGGCTCAAAGGGCACAAGAGCACGTGCGGTCTACTAAAAGACAGCTCCACTGCCAATTTCACTTCTGTGTCCTCCGTGTAATATATGCAGTGTTTCCTCTAGGATTTTTTTTAGCAGTGGGGGCAGCCCCCCCCCGTCGGCAAACATTTTACGTATGAAACAGAACTGTCACTTCGCTAATGTTTCCAGATGTTTGATATCAGGACGTTGAGCTGAGAACTGGCAAGTTGAACTGCGGTGACGTATTTGGTGGAGCTGTTAGTTTAATAGTCGACTTGGAAGAAAGCGAACGTTTTGACAATAAGCTACATCAACACAACAGTATGTGGAGTTAAACTAGACAGCCCCAATAACCTCGGAATAGTTCTACTTGTTGTTAAATTCCAATGTGAGCGGCAGCTAATGAGGCCAACCTAGGAAGTGAAATCACACAAGACATGTGAGAAAGGACTCTTTCAACACAAAACAGTAAAAAACTAAAACCCAAACACATGATGCAGACACCTCTAAATCTAGTGTTATGGTCATTCCTAACTGTGTCTCTTACACCTCACCTGCCCTCTGCTTCAGCCAGCTACCTCCCCTCTCTTTCCAACTCCATACCCTGCTACCAATGCAAATAAATCATTTTAAATCACCTTACTCCTGAGTCTGTGTTTGGGTCATGACACCTAATTTGTTATTCAGCAGAAACTTTGAAAAGTGTCCTGAGATAACTTCTGTTATGATTTGGTGCAACACAAATAAAACTGAATTAAGAGCAAACACAAGTGCATTAATTGTAAATCTATTTTTAGACATGAACAACATTCTTCATATAAGTACAGGAGAAAAAAAAATAATACTATGTAATATACAGAAAATGGTGCATCAATGTTTTGGCTTTCTTTCTTGACCAACATCAGTTAGACAACATGCAGAGGGACTGCCGCTGTTCCTCCAGTGAATTTAACAATGTTACACATTGGGCGTATACTGCATCATCGTCAGCATGTACGTTAGCACAGTTTGTACTCTTATACAAAGTAATGTCAAAGCTGAGCTGATGTCACTGCACATAAACAAGCAAGAAGTGAGAGGGGGTTGTAGCCGATTCTGTGGTCTGTCCCGGGACCATGGTTTCTGGCAGGGACCAGTGGTTACTGCCACTAGGGGCGCTAAAGATACTGGTCCTGACCAGCTCCTCAGTGATCTGCCCTGTGGTCCCTGTGGTCTGTGAAGCAGCTTTAATATTTTCTCCCCTTTCCGGTCGTTTTGGCAGCACTGTTAGCTGGATAAATGAGATCATAATCTTTTGACTATAAAATACACTATATCAGATCTATTATGATTATTATTATTATTATTATTATTATTGATTATGAAGATCCGTGTGGTCAGGACCAGCTGGTCTCTGGCACGGACCAGTGGTCACTACCACTAGGGGCGCTAAAGACACTGGTCGCGACCAGTGGCACAGTGGTCATGACCAGCTTCTTACTGCCACAAAGGGCACTAAAATGACTGGTCCTGACCACCTCCTCTGTGATCTGTTCTGCTGTTTGGACCAGTTGAGTGATCTATGGAGTGTTTGTTTGTCTGTTTGTATTTATTTTTAATACAACTTTTCACGTTTCTCACTGTGTTAGCAGAATAGCCTAAATGTGAGAAGCCATAATCGTTTGTCTATACAATGTTATTGATCACTATTATTAATAGAAATCATAATAATAATAATAATGATTAAATTATCATTATTAGTCGTAGTTGTATGAGTAGTACTATCGATTATGCAGGTCAGTGTGTTCGTGACCTGCCGCCCAGTCCTGACCAGCTCCTCGCAACCAGCTCCTACCTGGCACGGACCAGTGTTCACTACCACTAGGTGCGCTAAAGACACTGGTCTGTCTTGTGGTCCTTGTCATCTGCCTGTTGTCTTAACCAGTTACTGAGTGGTCTTTGGAGTAGTTATTGCACATTTAATACTTCAGCAATAGAAGCTGTTTACAGATAGACAGAATTGATTATTTGTCTAGCTGTAAACATACAGCATTATTTTTATTTATTTATTTGCTGATGGGTACCATATGTGGCTGTATGGGACGCCAAAGGGAAAGAGACAAAGCGTCAGTCTTCGACGAGTTGGGAATGAGGTATGCTTGTTTCTGTGAAGCAACAAATTGTAGCACTGTGTCCAAGACAAATTTCCCCTCGGGGACAATAAAGTTATTTCTGTTCTATTCTATTAGGATATCTATTAATAGTAATGATCAATAATATTTGACAGACAAAAGATGATTTTTATTTATCTATTTTTACATTTATTCAGCACAGTGTTGCCAACACAATGAGAAAAGGGAGACGGTGTATTAAATGTACAATAACTACTCCAAAGACCACTCAGTAACTGGTCAAGACAACAGGCAGATGACAAGGACCACAAGACAGACCAGTGTCTTTAGTGCCCCTAGTGGTAGTGAACACTGGTCCGTGCCAGAGACCACTGGTCCGTGCCACAGAGCAACTGGTCGCGACCACTGATGAGCTGGTCGCGACCAGTGTCTTTAGCGCCCCTAGTGGTTGTGACCACATGGTCCCGGGACAGACCACAGAATCGGCTACAACCCCTGCTGCAAGAAGTCTAGAGCTATGGTAGCAGCTCTGTGAGGCTCTGTGAACCAAGTTCACCATCTTAGTTTCCTGTGTAAGAATTATTTTGCAGGCCAGACTTCCGGTTTGATGAGGTAGAGTGCAGACGTACAGGCAGGGAGCTCCGGCCAAACTTTTCATTTACTCTTCAAGTCTACCAAATTAACAGTGCTTTTCTTCCAGTCGACTCGCGTATTATTGAACTTTTATGTGGGAAAGTGTACGGCGACTTAATGAGCAGCTCAAAGTCTAAATACCAACCGATAAAAACAACTCGAGCAGCGAGCATCTCGGCTAAGCTAGCTAGCATGGCCGCCGCCGCTTCAGAGCGTTCAGACCCGGGGGCAGTGGAGCCGACACTGGGAACCACTCCGACCCAGTCACCAAGATTGACCTTGAGGCTCTACTCAACAAACAGCGTGATAGCTTCAAAGCTGA